GTTTATAAGGGAGAGGACTGGTTACAATATAGAGATATTTTGAAACCTGTTGGAAAATCATTTGAGATGAAATCAGAAGAAGAAATAGACTATAAATATGGTTGGTTACAATATAGACAGGTTTATGATCTGTTTAAAACAGCTAAAAAAAAATTTGGGTTGAGGAAAAAATATAATGAAATTGAAAATCTGTGGTTGGAAGGAGGCAAAAAGATGATATCTAAGATGTATAAGATTTTGCTAAAATGGTATATGGAAGATAAAACAGTGAAAGATCAGATGGTAAAATGGGCAGTTAATATGAATATGTCATCCTGGGAATTTTTATGGAAAAATGCAATTAAAATTTCAACATGTAATAATCTAAAAGAGAACTGTTATAAGATGATGTATAGATGGTAAAAAGGTAAAGGTAAAGGTTCCCTTGCTCGAAAGCCAGTCGAATCCGACTCTAGGGTTGCAGTGCTCATCTCCGTTTCCAAGCCGAAGAGCCAGCGCTGTCCGAAGACGTTTCCGTGGTCATGTGGCCTGCATGAGTAAACACCAAGGTGCATGGAACGCTGTTACCTTCCCACCGAAGTGGTACCTATTTATCTACTTGCAATTTCTTGCTTTCGAACTGCTAGGTTGGCAGGAGCTGGAACTAGAGACAGGAGCTCACATTTCCGTGGTCATGTGGCCGGCATGACTAAACACCAAGGCGCACGGAACGCTGTTACCTTCCCACCGAAGTGGTACCTATTTATCTACTTGCAATTTCTTGCTTTCGAACTGCTAGGTTGGCAGGAGCCGGAACTAGAGACAGGAGCTCACCCCTTCTTGCGGCACCCGGGTCTTGAACTGCTGAACTACTGACCTTCCACAGCCTGCAGTTCAGCGTCTTAACCACTTGAGCCACCGCATGGTTCATGACACCAAAAAAGATAGCGAATATAAGTAACAATTTATCAAACAAATGCTGGAAATGTAAAAAAATAGAAGGCTCTTTTTACCATATGTGGTGGACATGTGATAAAGCAAAAAGGTTTTGGACTGAGGTCCATACAGAGATGGAAAAAATAATGAAATGTAAAATTAAGAAGGAACCTGAAGTGTTCCTTTTGGGACTTAAAATGGAGGAAGTTAATATTGCAAAACGGACTTTAACGTGGGATATGATTACAACTGCCAGAATGATATACGCTCAATGTTGGACGCAAGAAAGAACTCCCAATATCTGGGAATGGTTGAAAAAGTTACTTTTTATGGTTGAGATGGACAAAATGACGAGAAAGCTTAAAAATCAAGAAGCAGAAGATTTTTTTGCAGATTGGAAAGACTTTAAAGACTACTTGGAGAAATACTGGGATGTAAAAAACAATTTATTTTGCTTTGACAATTATTAAGGTTGGATGGACATTTAGATTAAATTTAAACATACATAGATAAACACATAAAACGATACGTTACCTAAAAGAATTATGTTGTTAAAGAATTGGAAAAGGAGGAAAAAATTCAAGAATGTAATAGAGGTTTGAGCACTGTGGGAAGTCAGAAGGGGGAGAGATATTTGGATAAAAGGATATGAAAAGTTTGTTATATGACGTAAAATTTTACTTATTATATCCTAATAAAATTGTTTTTTTAAAAAACAATAGAAACTTTTTAAAAAATTGCTCACTTGTAAAGGCAGAAAAAGTAACATCAATTTTATAACATTCCTCAAAACAACTATGAGCAACGGGAAACATCAGATGGTGTGTGTTTCCTTTTATTATTAATGGCTTTATTGTGTAGAGGCAGCAGCTAATAAGATACGTAGCCACTCTGATAAATGACCGTGCATGAAGTTCAGCTAGGAAACAAAAAGCAAGATACTTAAACATTATGGAAGATCACAGCTGCAGCCCCAACGTTCTGAACATACTTCCTAGGACTTGTGAAGATTTGAGGAACTCTGAGCAACGTTCTGGTCCCTCTGAATATGTTTAGTTATTATTATTTGTTGAAGGCAATATCAAGGTTGACATAAATTTGGCAATTTTTATGGGCTTTTAAAAACTGCCATTCAATACATTTCAGCTACTGAAGATCAGCTTGTACTGAAGTGACTTATGAAATTAGTTTGGATGATTTTTTAAAAGATGAAGCCCTTGAAAATAAACATTTGCGATTATTTTAATGCTACAATTTTGCTTTTCAGCTTCTTTGCTCTTAGAAAAATACATGCAGATGTGCATGATCCCATTGTCTTTGGAAAAGTGCAAAAGTTACTTAAAAAAACCCAAAGTGAAGTGTGCCTCCTGCAACAAACTATCTCATCCAAAGTATGTCAGGCTAGATCCAAAGGATTGTGGAAGTAGCTCCGTGAGCCCAAGAGGCATTCAAGTAAACATGAACAATAAACATTTGGCAGCTTGCTGACAACACCCCCCACTCCCGCCTCTGACAGTCATTGGTTCTGGTCACACGTGCCGGGAAATGCGGGGAGGAGGCGTGGCTTTTTGCGCCGGCACAGTGTGTCCCGCTGCAAACGCGATCAGACATGACGGCAGTTTCCTTCCTCGGCGCACGTTCCCGGCATGCTCCAACAACGCAAGAGGAGCACGCTGGAGCGATCAGACAAAGAGTCAGCGGCCCGTTGCAAGCCGTTTGCTAGTGGACTTTATGAGGTACCTTTTTACTCCGCATCTTCAGCCGGCTGCAACAGTTGCACTACGCTGGCCAGATGCTGCTGTGTGATCGCACCCTTATAATCCACCTGGCATTCGTGCTGCTCCCGCGGCAACTTCTGCGTCTGATCGGAGCCATACTGTTTTTAAACTAAAAGCTATTTTGTTCAAAATCTGATGTAGCATGGAGCTCAGCTGGTGATGTGGCAGGGAGAGGCATACCCAGAATTCCACCAAGCTAGCGTGATTCCTTTCCCAATGACCCTTTGGAGCCCGGTCCATCTGGTCTCTCTCAATACAGCTACATCAGAGCAGCTCTTCTTTATATAACAAACACTGACAGATCTATAACACTGTGACTTACTTGAGAACCTGTTGCCTGATGTTATTCCGCAGCTGGTTTTTGTTCAGGTGAGGACTCCACGTGTGAGTTGCTAGGTGGTTAGAAACAAAGTTGTCGACCCGCTGCCGTAAGTTCTGATAAGCCGGCTGAAAGGAGAGGATACGAAAGATGCAAAGAATAATATTTTAGCTTTGGCAAGCTTGGGCACAATGTATGATCCATGTCTTAGAACTGGGTCAATGAAAAGAGGTGAAGGGACACACAATAAACTATACTCCTCAACAGGGGAAAAACACCCTTTTTTGATAAAGAAAATCTTTTCTGCAAATAATTTTGAAAACAGGACACAGCACTTCCTCTGCTAAGACTGTTTAGTTATTTTCTAACAACGCGTTCTAAATTGGGAAAAAACTGAAAACTGAAGAATACTTTCCACCTCTCTCCCACCATAATTGTTGTTTTTAATGGAAAAATTGGGAGAGGGGACTGTAATGAGATTTTTAAAAAATTTAGTATGACTAAAATGCTTTTAAAACCAAGGTTCTCAAATGAGTTAGCTGACTTTTACTTCCTAAAAATGCATTATACTATAGCAAGACGATCTACAATATTAGTCAATTACTACAGATGCATAATCTTCAAATCATCTGGCCTGCTTTAGATTTCTCCAGGATGTGAAAGAGAACTGTGCCTGGTGAAATCCATGGATATAAAATTGAAAGTTCATAATAACCAGGAAGAGGCCCTCCCCTAAATTCAAGTCAGAGCCTTGTGAACTGCTATGGAGGAAAATCTTTTGGGCTCTGAACTCATGTGACACATGTACTTGGGCACTATTTGTTCCCTCTTTTCCTAACTGATGAAAGCTAAGAAATGTTTACATGCTGTAAAGGGCCGTGGTTTGCTGCTCCGCTTTTGTGAGCACGCACAATAATGGCTCCATGTGCTAAGTCATACAGACCGGATTTTTATATGCCAAGCACTACCATTTAAGTCTTTGAAGACACCACGGACTGCACATATATTTCCCCCCAATTCTGTCCCCCCCCCCAAGAAAATAAGGCAACCTCTCCCCCACAGTTTCCAAATTTTACTTCTTCACCTTTGATTGAACCAAAAGGAACAACAAAAAAGAACAAGAGTCTAGTAGCACCTTAAAGACCAACCAAAATTTGTGGCAGGATAGGAGCTTTTGCGAGTCACTGCAATGAGTCACACGGTGACTCCTGGACTCTTGCTCTTTTCTACTGCTACAGACAGACAGGAAGCTCGGGAGCTGCCCTGCCACCACTCTCTGATTTACTTTACCCAGAAATGAAAGGTTCACAACTGGGCAGTAATTAGAAGGACTGGTGGGATCCAACAATGGTTTCTTTAAGAGTGGTATTATCACCGCCTCCTTTAAACCCTCTGGATAAACCCCCAAACAGAAGGACAAGTTGAAAATATCCATCAGGGAGTCCTGTATTCCATCACCGCTGGCTTTCACCAGCCACGATGGACAAGGGTCTGGGAGGCAAGTGGCTGGCTTAACAGCACCCAGGATCCTGTCAACACTGACAGACAGGTTGCGGAGGAGTGACAAGATTTTATCCGCAAAAAAGCTCACAAAAGCCTCACAGCTAATGGCCAGATTCCTAAAAATTTGGGTTCTCTCTGTGAGAGAAGTCAGTGACCTAATTATCCTGAATAACTGTGCTGGATGAGAGCTAGCGGATGCAATGGAGATTGTATAAAATTCCCTTTTAGCAGTCTCACTGCCATCTCATAAGATTTCAAAAATGTCCTACAGGATGTTCTTGCAGTTCCGTTATGAGACCGTCACCAGGCTCTCCCTAGTCACCTAAGCTCCAGCTCCATCCCTCTAAGCGCCACGGTGTACCATGGGGCGGAGCAAAGAGGACATTGGGGTGTGGGCAGGATTTCATTGATGGCTTCAGAGAGTGGACATTCCAGTCCTCTATCAGTGCATCTAATGAGTCACCGGGAGGCATCAGATCCCGCAGAGCATTCTGGAATCCAACTGGATCCATTAGTCTCTGCGGGCATGCATAAATCCACTCACTGCCTAGACAGGGGAGGGTTGGGAGCCGGACCTTCAGGGCAAAATTATCAGATGATGGCACTCCATCAATAGCAATCAGATCCATGCCAAAGACCAAGTCCGGTGTGTGGCCTGCTTGATGTGTGAGTCCCAGTGCTGCCATGGAAAACACCAGGTCCAATGCCGGCAAAGAGCTGGCAACATCAGCATGGACAGGGAAACACCCCCCCCCCCGAACTATCAGTCTTGGGAATTCCAAGGCCCAGGATGCCACCGCCTCCGGGAGGCTTGGTAGGCTGCCTGCCGGTGTGCTAGATGGTTGGTACACCAGCCAGAGAGCCAAACTCTCCTCAGCATCCCAGACCAAGCCAACACAGTTAGTGCCAGAGATCTTTGGGATGGGGAGAGCCCTGAAGGAAAAAAGACTTGTGGATGAGTATCACCACTCTCCCCCAACCCTGCGTCCAAGACTGATGGAGGACCAAACCGGGGGGGGGGGGGGGCAGTTCTTTCAGGGCGACTGTCTTGCCTTCCCTCACCCAGGTTTCTGTCTTGCACACCAGCTCCACTTCTTGCTGTACAAAGTAATTCTGTAGGGTCGTTTTATTATTAATGGACCTGGCGTTGCACAGCATCAGTAACAGAGGTGGGTTAACTTTCCTAGCCCCCTCGCCAACATGCCTTGGGATGGGGCAAAGGTTGGAAGGGACCAAGCATAACCATATCTCCGTCTCCTTCCATTCCAGAACCTACTCCCACCGCCATACAATGCTCCCTCTAATCTGTGGAGTCTTGTGAGCAAAAATTCTACTTTGTGAGCTACTGGCATTAAAGTTGTGAGCAAGCAATTTAGCTATTGAATAAATTAGTTTGCTCTGGAGCCATCCTTCCTGAGCTAAGACAAAAATGAGTGAGCTGGAGGCTAAAAAACTGTGAGGTAGCTCACACTAATTCAGCTTAGAGGGAACACTGCCGACATACCTCCGTCTGCCCCGATCTCTGGGATCCCTGACCTGACTCTAATGTTGGCAATGTTTCTACCATCTATTCTGGCTCTCTGTCCCTCCCCTCCCCCGCCCTTATAAATCACAACCTAAAATACAACAATTCCAATTTAGTAACAATTAAAACTAATGCCACAATAAAAGCTATAATTTCCTAATCAAACACCCTCCCACATTCACTCCCTTCCTCCCTACTGTTAACACTATATATCAGATCCTGTATCTACTATGCTAGTTGGGAAGAGAAAAATTACGAATTCGTTAAAAACTGGGAGGGAGACAATTAAGAATTAAGAGGGTAGATATTTTACGGCCTAGAATGATTGAAAAACCTTTTCAGCGGTAAGCGCATGGCCTGCCAGCATCTGATCACAGTACAACAGCTTACTACTCAAGGAAATCACCCCGGGAAAGGCCACTAATTTTCTCAACAGAACTAGAGCTCTGCCCACTGCTGGATCAACAATGGTGTTTCAGCCAAGGAAAATATCTCAGCCACGCCAACCATTCTGGAAGGGGTGGGGGTTTCTGGAAAACTCCGAGTGGCTCTGACCATCTGGTGCTCCGGGTCATCCAGTCTTCGGTGACTCACTCTGGAGGAGATCTGAAGCTCCAAGGCCACCACGTGTGTCCAAGGCCAGACCACCCTCCACAGCTCCCCTCCAAGAGGAGTAGGAGTAGAAATCAAAGGCTGCCGAGTCCATTTCAGGGAAAGTTCTACAGAATCTGGAGGCATCAATTGCATCCACACTTCTGCGGTTCCAATAAGCCCAGAGGCCACCCCATGACCGTTTCAAGAGGTCTAAAGATCTAACCAGGGTTATGGCTTGCATCCACCTGACTATCTTATCTAGAGATGTGAAGGCCCAAGAGGTGGGGAAGAGTTCAGGAAAAAATATTTATCTTGCAAGGACTCCCCTCCTCCCAACTTCTCCAGTACCAAAATTAAAGAAATTTGGTGTGCACTGAATAACCCTCCAATGAAATATTTTCTATTTTGGAACAAACGTAAGCAGCTACTCCTATTATCCTATATATAAAAAAGCCCAATGTATTGGCACTTTCTAGCTCTCCCATTGGCTGTGCTGTCCGCTCCATCAGCCATTGGCCTGTCAACCACCACTCAAGAGTACTCATGTGCCATTGGCTGCATGCTGGGTCTGCTCCTCTCCCACGCCCACTGCCAGCTTCCCTGTCAGAATAAACTGCCAAAATGGCTGTCTCTCCTGACGAAGATGCTTCTACTGCTGCTTGGCTCGCTGGCTACTGAGGTGGGCCAGCAACCGTCAAACTATTCTCTTCTCCTGCTGTAGGGCTAACTTTCCCTTCAGTGGCTGTTGCTAGGCAACCAAGCTTGGTTCTGTCAGCTTCAGGTTGGGAAATACCTAGAGATTTTGTGATGGAGTCTACAGAAGTCAGGGTTTGGGGAGGGGAGAGGCCTCGGCTGAATAGGATGCCAGAGTCCACCCTCCAAAGCAGTTATTTTCTATGGGGGAGAGATCTGTGGTCTAGAGTTCAGTCGTGATACCAAGCAACACCACAGCCACTGTGACATAGCAGTTAGCACTTCAGTGCAGGGTCTGCTAGAACCAGGTTCTCGCTGTGGGGAGGGGGGAGATGGAAAGCTGAAATCAGAAGGGCAGATAAAGGCAAGTTGATGGTTGGCTCAGAAAGAGACAGGATTGCCAAATCCAGGTTGGGAAATTCCTGGAGATTTGAGGGGGTGGAGCCTTGAGAGGGTGGGGTTTGAGGAGGAGTGGGATCTCAAACTGGTACAATGCCATAGACTCCACCCTTCAAACTGGCCATTTCTTCCTGTGGAGCCATTGTTGCCAATCTCCAGATGAGGACTGGAGATCACTCAGAATTACAACTGCTCTTCAGGTGGCAGAGATCAGTCCCCCTGTAGAAAACAGTGGAATCTGTGTCATTATACCCTGCTGAGGTCGCCATAGCAAATTCACACTGAGTGCCCAAGGCTGGGGCACCCACCCAGAGCCTTTTTCTAGAGCTTACTGTATTTATTTCCACAATGGGCCTTATTCCTAGTGTCTATATAAATCTGTTTCCCCACAATTATCACTCTTTTCTTTGCTATAAAATCTGTGTTTCCTATTTTCAACTTTTATTTTTCTCCCAACTCCTGGATGGCAAAAACAAAGATACATGTGCTAAAATAGCAGAGGGTGCGCCAATCTGCTGCTCTCTTTTTAGTACTGGGCACATTTGCAATTTTACCTGCAGAAAGCTAAGAAAAAGAGGGGGCTGCACCAAGGGAAAATGCAGATGAAGAAAAAGCATGTAGCTTTGTCAGGGGGAATCTTTTGGAACTAAAAAGAATCTGAAATATTCTCCCTGACAAAGCTTCATGCGAAACACATAGGAGCTGTATAATTACTAAAGATTCATTTTCCTCTGCATCAATTCGCTTTTTCATCTATGTTTTGCAGAAAGCTAAACCATTTATGCTTAGCATATAAACCTGTTCCACTATGAATTTTCTGTTAAAGCAATAAAATATACAATATTTACTTAACAAGCCTGAGCTTATTTCATCACCCTCTCCCCGATTTCCCTAGAAAAAAAAGAGTGGGTACTTTTTCCATGGCTTCAGAACTTCAGGAAATTGTACATCTCTGATATCATATTCATACAGAAATAGTTTATAGAAACACTATAAGGCCTACCTGTTTGCTTTGGCCAAGGCGCAGGTTTAAATTGGAAAAGGACAAGAAAATTTAACCTTGATAAAACTTTATCTGGGGGAAAAACTTTTAATAATCAAGAGCAATTGATTATTCTGGGTTAACAGACATGCCTATACGGTTGTACTTGTTGCAAAGCACAGGTCTTTTAGTCATGACAATGAAATGGAACTTGTGAGTTCGAAAGTAGTATACCTCTGTTTGCCACTGAGGAAAAACAGGTGAAGGCCTTTACTTTAATGCCCTGCTAGCACTAGAAGGCTGGAGTTTAGCTGGACTTTGGTATGAATGACCAAGGTAGCTCTTTAAAAAATAAACCCAAACTCTTTAATGCAAGTCCAAATTAAGTTGGAACTTGAATCCCTTCAAATTTGCACAGCGCATGTGAGTCTTGTGTTTTTCGCAATACCTGTCAATAAAGAAGAATTAAATAGGGCTATCCAAGCTGTGTTCATATGTGGGAGATCTGGCTGCGATATCTATCACCACGCTGATCGCCGAGCTGATTCGGCTGATCTCACTTGGTAGGCAGGTGTCTCCTTCAGTACTCCATGTGTGTCCCTCCCAAAGCTGTATGCTCTGTGAAAAAGGACAACCATCTCAGGTGGAAGGAGAACCTAAGCTCAAGCGTTATTTTAGCTATATGAAAGGTGTACCCAAGGAGACTTTGCAACAGCTTAGGTTACCACTTGACTCATGCAGGCGATCAATGAGTGTGTAGGTTGTACCACGACTATGGACATAGAAGCAAAAAGGAATGCACAGAAAAGGGGCATAACCCCAAAACAAAAGTCACACAGTCCCTTTAATTAAGGCTAACTCAAAAAACAACAACCACCACCAAAACCAAACACAAGGAGCGAACTTTTAAGTCCTCCAGGTCTTTTTTCCAAGCCAGATATTCAAACAACAATAGCAGGGTTGTGGTGGAGATCTTCCAGCCAATGTCGAGGAAAGGATGCGACTACAACTCTTCTCTCCAACTTTATTACATACAGAGATGTTTTGGTTTTTATGAAGACCAGAAGTACACCCCACCATGTATACCCACAGAAGAGGTAATGTCCACATTTACCACCCCCTAAGGCAACAAAACTAATGGAAAGACAGATGAAAGGGGGGGGACAAGGCGAGGTTCCTTGCTTTGGGGTGCTGGCGTGCATCTCTATAGGGGCCCCTGGGCTTGGCCTGTTCCCCAACCAAGCTCTATAGGCCACCTCGGACATGACGGGAGAAATATGGAAGGCTGAATACAGCATCACAAGACGAGAAGTCAGGAGCAAAGGGGGAGGGGGGTGACTGCCCTGGAAGCCTCTTGGAAAACGCACTTCGATCTATGGTGCCCCCCCAAGGGAAGTTTTATTCACTTGCGTATTTGTATCTCAGTTTCTCCTCTAAATGGAGCTGTGATGGCTCAAGTGGTTAAGACGCTGAACTGCAGGCTGTGGAAGGTCAGTAGTTCAGCAGTTCGATACCCGAGTGTGCCGCATGACGGAGTGAGCTCCCGCCTCTAGTTCCAGCTCCTGCCAACCTAGCAGTTCGAAAGCAAGAAATTGCAAGAAGATAAATAGGTACCACTTCGGTAGGAAGGTCACAGCGTTCTGTGTGCCTTGGTGTCTAGTCATGCCGGCCACATGACCACGGAAACGTCTTCGGACAGCGCTGGCTCCTCGGCTTGGAAACGGAGATGAGCACCGCAACCCTAGAGTCGGATTCGACTGGCTTTCGGGCAAGGGAGACCTTTACCTTTTCTCCTCTAAAGCTCACAATGCTATGTGTCCTCCACCTCCTCCTCCTCAATACAACCAGCCTGCGAGGTCGGCCGGGATGAGGGGGGGGGGACCGGCCCAAGGTCACCCGGCCAGTTTCCCATGGCGGCGGCGGCGATGAGCCCCCCGGGTCTCTCAGATCCTGAGCCGACGCTTTGGCAGCCGCGGCAGTTCGATTGCTGCCTTCGGATTCCCGAGACTCCTTCTGCCGCCACCCGCCGCAGGCCTCTGAGCAGAACCCCACCCCCAACAGATGACCCCGATCTCCCCCCCCCCGCCCTCCAAGCGGGCAGCCGGTCTGCGGGGGGAGACCTGGACTCCGAGCGCGGCCCCCCCGCCCCTCCCCGCACCTTGGTGTCCACGTCGGCCAGGCAGTCGCGGCGGAACTGGTCGAAGAGGCCCTGGCTCTTGAGGCGGTTGAGGATGAGCGACAC